AGCTCTCCTGGACACGTGTCGTCTCTCTGCTTTTCCAGCTGCCCCACTTCCCACACAAGGAACCATGAGTCAGCATCCACTACCTTCTTCAGTTCCTGGGGTTCCACCAGCTGTCAGGCCAAAGCTGGGTCCCCCTGCACTCTAATCCTCTTGCCTCCCATGGTATATATCATAGACATCTCCCTCCAATTGATAATCACCTCTCCCAACGTTGACAACCATGCAATTCCCAGTATAACATCTACTCCACCCAGCTCGAAGACGTAAAGGTCTGCCACCACCGTAGTTTCCCCCATGTTGATCGGTACCCCTCACAATGCCCTCTTGACATCCTCCGTCGTCCGTCCCCGAGACTCACCGCGGGGGCGCCGTGTCGGTCACCGGAAGTCTCATCTCCTCTGCCACCCGTCGGCTCACGAAATTATGGCTAGCCTCGCTATCAATGAGAATTAGCACTGGCTTCTCTCCGATTCTCCCTGCGAGCTTCATGGTTGTTGGCGACGTCATCCCTTCCCCCGAGCACGCCGACAGTTCCATGCAATCCCCCTCCGGGGATCCACCTTCGATAACCACATCCTCCTCGTCTTCTGCCAACAAGAGTACTACACCTTTCTCCGAGCAGCGGTGTCCTGGAGCGAAGGGGCCGCCGCACCGGAAGCATCGTCCCTCCTCTTGTCTTTTCAAGAATTCCGAATAGGGCAAATTTTGAACCATTCTCCCCCGATTATCGCCACCCCCAGCATTTTCGCCTCTCTGGCCCGTCGCCGGCAACGAACCTTCTCTTCGATTCGCCGCACTCCCGTCCACTCCTCCCGACCGGTTAACGGTGGGTCGCTCCATTTCTCCGCGAATAATCCTCCCCCACTCATTTTTACGCCATTCCAACCTCCTCCTCGCGTTCGTATCATCGCGTCCTCCACATCTTTCGCAACCTCTTCCTTCAATCCCGCCAAAAAAAATCCTAGTGTCAACTCCTCCTTCAATCCTTGCGTCTGCCCTAGCAATACCTCAAAATTCCTAGCGAATTCCTCCACCGAACCTTCTTGACGTAAAGTTGCTAATTGTTCGTACACCGTGCCCCGAAACCCTCCTCCAAAGCGATTGATCAGTGATGCCTTTAATCCCATCCAAGACCGGTTCTTGGTTTTGTCTTTCCAAATCTTGAACCAGTAGCTCGCACTACCCTCCATGCTGATATATGCGAGTTCAACTTTATCATCATCTGCCACTTTCTGAATATCGAAAAAGCGCTCTGCCCGATTGATCCAACTATGCGGCTCTTGCCCATCAAACCCAGGTAATTCCACCCTCTTCCTCCAATTCTGATGCACTCCCCCACTGTCGCGATGCTCGTGATTGTCATTCACGGACGTACTTCCCTTTTCCGACCCTCCTCCGTGATTATTTGGGCCTCCGCTCATCATCCTCATCATCTGTTGAATGTCTCGCCTTATCGCCGCCGTTTCCTCTTTAATTCCTTCCACCGTTATCTCCAGGTTATCCAACCTATCCTTCGATGACTATCCGTCCATCACTGATTCTCTCTTCTTTTTGGATCCGCAGGTCGGACCAAATGTTAGGTTCTTTGAGAACCTAGGAAAAACTCACTCCTTACTCTTCAAACACACACTCCGACAAAGAAATGCTTCTTTTGTTCACTTTCAATCAACAAAAAGAATACAGAGAGCTTAACCTCTCCCCCTCAGGACATGAGTCCTGATCAACAATTCAATAAGGCCAAAAAGATCCCTCCCCCAAACTAATCACAACTATTTATACAAGTTCAAAAGCTTTTCCTCGTTCCCCCTAACTGCCCAAACAGTTAGACCAACTAACTATGTTTCTTTCTTCTCTCATAGACTAATAACGGTCTAACAATGTTCATGTATTAACTATCCATTGGTCTAAAGCTCCTAAGATTCTTATGGTTATAAGGAAATCTCCTTCTAATACATTTGTTAAATGTATTTTGAATGGGGCTCCTCATGAGTCAAGGTTTTGGTCTTATGTTGGCTTATCCAAAGGTGGTAGAGGAGTTCATATCAGAAGGTAGAGGTATCAATTTAACTCATGGGTCAACCTTAATTCATTGTTAAATACGCTCCCCTTTATAAGGCCGACAAACAAGGGGGCAAAAAGAAAGCCTATAGCCTAAAGTCCCTATTAAAGTGGGTTAAGGACAGGTCAAAGCGGGATTGACCCTACTACAAGACTTTAATTAATTCTTTAGAAAACAACCTTCAACTTGGGTTAAAGGTCGTGACAAGCAGTCCCAAACTGAAGTTCAATCCTAGTCCACCTGGATCGAAATTCCAACCAATGTCGAGACTAAAGGATGAATCGAGTGAGCCCCAACAAAAGTCATAGTCGAGCTGGACCAAGATCAAAGTCATGCCGAGAAGGCCAACCCAAAGGTCGAGTCGAGACTGCTAAGACAAAGGTCAAGATCTGAATGTCAGGCAAAAGGCAAAGACGTGCTAACTTGAGCCAAAGCTTAAGATAGTCCATCATAGACTAAGGATCGAGATGGGGTGGCCCTACAAGGTTGATATGGAACAACCACTACCAAATCTTGAGAAAGATGGCCTACTCTAAGCCAAAGTTTTAAGAAGACGACTTAATTTCAAAGTTAAGATAAGTTGGGTCGGGTGGAAGGTCGAGACATGCCAACTTAGATCTGTTGATAGGGGGAGCTTAGTCTCTTTATAACTTTGTTTTATATGTTGATTGGTTAAAATATTAATAATGGTTTCTTGCACAATAAAATGGCATAACAATTGTTTATATCTTTAACAAGTGTGTGCTAGATGATTGAATCCATTATGTTTGATTTAATCATAATTTAAACAGATTAAAAATATAGTTTCTGGTATAAATAATCGATTACATAAAGAGTATAATCTGTTAGATTTAGCCAGAACACTTAGAAAGCTAAACAAGGGAAATTCACTCTGTTATAATCGATTATATAAGGTATATAACCGATTAAAACAGAAAGAAAGCCATAATCTGTTATATAAGTGAGATAATCTGTTAAGGATGGCAAATGGATAGCTAATATGGTTACATAAGTTTGATAGTCGATTAAAATAGAGAACTTAGTTTAATCCATTACATAAATAACCTAATCTGTTAAGACTGTTAAAAGAAGTAATAATTGGCTTAAGTGTTTAAATAATCGATTACACACATAGGATAATTTGTTAAAACGGAAAGGAAAACATAACAGATTACATAAATAACATAATCAATTATACTGCGATAAAATTTGAAAATCCTTTATTATTGTAACTTCAGACCTGTTTTCATAACATTAACATTTTCAAAAATTGACAAATCTTCTAAGGTTGGGTCATACTGGACCCACAAGCAGAGTCAACTTCAACCCACCTTTGGCTAGGTTGGGTCAAGCCCAACTTAGGTCGAGTTAAGTTGAGTCCACCGCAGACTATGTCGAGTGAGGTCCACCTCATGCTAAGTCGAGTTGGGCTCACCTACGGTCGAGTCATGTCGGGCCCACCTGTGGTCAAGTTATGTCAGGCCCACATCAGAATGATTCATGTCAAGCCCACCTTTGGCCGAGTCATGTAGGACCCACCTTTAGGCAAGTCATGTCAAGCCCAACTTTTGTTGAATCATGACAGTCCCACCTTTAGCTAAGTCATATCAAACACACCTCTAGTCGAGTCGGTTCGAACCCACCTCAAGCTGTGTCAAGTCCCGCCACCTCTAGTAGAGACATGCCAGACCTACCTTGGACTGCGTCAAGTCAGGCCACCTCAAACCTAGTCAAATCATACCCATATTGGGTAGAGGAGAGTTGTGTCCATGTTAGGTCGATTAGAGCTAAGCCATGTTAGATTGAGTCAAACCGATGTTAGCCTGAGTCTAGCTGCTCCGACATAAGATTGAGTCAATTTTACCTATCAAAATCACCTTTAGTTTAGTCGAGTCGAACCAACCATTAGCTTAGTTGAGTTAGGCTCACATTAAGTCAAGTTTAGTTAGATCGGCAATGGCTAGATTTGAGTTAGACCCACGTTAGGTTAATGGCAAACTAAGTTCAGATCATGCCATGTTAATTTGGGTTTAGACATGATCCACCAAGTTCAAACCCACATCAAACAATGTCATGTCTAGGATAAACCAAATTGGATTGGTTTGACCCAGTTGGACAAATTGGGTTGTGCCCCAACTTTTTGTTAAGCTGCAAATAGTAAAAATTAAGTAAGAACCAATTTATAATTAATGGAATATATTTGGAGATCGATGTACAATTTAAAATATTTTTAAACTCTATTATTGAGAAAAATACTTAAGAATTATATAAAGTCTTATAGTGAGGTCAAATTCATTTTGACCTTGATCTCAACCCACTTTAAGAGGAGACTTTGGGTGCTAAAGCCTTTTTAATCCACTCATGTGGTGGACCAATACAAAAAGGTCTTATTTAGAAGTGGATGGAGATGACCTATAGGTTATGGGTCAATTTGACACCTCTGTGTTTAAGAAAGAATAATAAAGATCGGAAGAAAATAGTTAATTTTCACTCAAAATATACATAACACCTATTATATGAAAATTGAGCATGTCCTCTAGTAAGGACTCGATCAAACACACTAAAAATACTGAACTTATCAAACTACTTAAATCAAGAAACAAACTTTGAACTAATTCAAAGGAATGACATTGGTTGCAGCATTCTTAAGCATTACAGCAAGCATAAACTCAACTTCTGCTTTGAAACAGCAAGTAATGATATTTACTATGCATTTACAAAATTCAAGATCAAAGGTTTGAGGATGCTATTGTCTCTATGCTATATAATAGCTTATGGAAGCATGTAGAAGAAGGCATGAAGCTGGGAATCTAATTTCATTTGTTGGTGATCAAATGAATACATATGTAAACAAAGGTGTGATACATGAGTTTAAACTGATAAACATTTGTACATTTGTGGTAATACATAAATATTTTTTTCCTACACTATTTATAAATAGCCAAACTTCTATACTAAAAACTTCTCTCTAAATAGCCCTAGCAATGCATAACTATAGACAAAAAAACAGATAAACCTACAGTATTACTATTTTTAACTCTGTTTTTAGTACTAACATAATCCCCATTTTGCCTCCATACACCTTTCTGAGAGCTCTTGGTTTTCTATCTGCCTTGTATGTCCGAAATAGTGACAGTGTTGAGGGAGTTCAAGTCATTTCCTCTTACATAGGGAAGTGAGCTTAACATATTTTCTCTCAGGATGAATGCAGGTTTCATTGGAGGAGGACGATCCGCAATCTCACTGTTTAACATAGAAATTACAGTAGACATAGTAGGCCTATCTGCTGGAAATTCTTGGACACATAGAAGTCCTATGTGTATGCACCTATAAAAATATTTATAAAGGCTAGGATCATATATTCCTGGATCTATTAGAGAGGGAATGTTGTCTGCTGTCCACTGTATCCAGGCCTGCAAAGAAATTTCAAACATTTGAAAGTTTTATCAGAAGAAGGATACGAACCCCTTTGGTGAACTTCGAAAGAATTTTTCTGACTTACAAATCCTAAAAGGGTAAGACAGTTTTCTTCATCATAAAAGCTTGAATTTCGTCTTCCACTAACAATCTCAAGTAGCAAAACCCCAAAACTAAAAACATCTGATTTTTCAGAGAACGATCCTTGCATTGCATACTCAGGAGACATATAGCCACTGCATTGAAATGTACCACACTTTATTTCCAAGTATACGAATAAAATCATGAAGAAAGAGGTATGCTTACTATGTTCCAACAATTCTTTTAGTATTTGCCTCATCCTCATTCCCACCAAAGATTCTAGCCATACCGAAGTCAGATATTTTTGGATTTAGTTCCACATCTAGCAAGATATTACTTGCCTTCAAGTCCCTGTGGATGATTTTTAGCCTGGAATCTCTATGAAGATAAAGTATTCCTCGAGCAACTCCTTCTATTATGCTAAAGCGTTTTCTCCAATAAAGAACCTTATCTTTTGACGGATCTAAAGAATCAAATGGTAGAATTGTATGAATTGCAACATTTTGAGATGAAGCACAATCTAATTTTTTCACAGTTTATCTTTAATCTCCAGAAAGAACAATTGTTGATGGAAGCAAGGTAGGGAAATCAAAGAACTAACCAAAGATATATTTGTCCAAGCTTTTATTTGGCAAGTATTCATAGATCAACATCTTTTCGTCACCTTCAATACAGCAGCCAAAAAGTCTTACAAGATTACGGTGTTGAAGCTTGGAAATTACCACTACTTCATTCATGAATTCTTCTTGACCTTGTCCAGATGCTCTTGAAAGTCTTTTAACTGCAATTTCCCTGCCATCTTGCAATTGCCCCTATAACATAACAATGAGAAAAATGAAACAATTGACAATATTTTCTGATATATGAGGAAGCTAAATGTTAAGTACCTTGTATACCGGACCAAAACCACCCTCTCCTAGTTTGTTCGATGGGTGAAATTTGTTTGTGGCGGTTACAAGGTTTTCAAAACTAAATGTTTCCTGGAGTTTGACCTGTGGCAGATCACCAAATGCATTGTCATTTATATATTCTGCAGGTGCTCCATCTCCATTAAATTGAAGGAATCTTTTGATGATCTCTACTGATCAATTACAGTGGCACAAATTAGCAACAACATAAACAAATATAAGTTAGCAGTGATATAAAAATGTTAATCAAAAAAGAAAACAAAATTATGAGCTAGTTTGAGTAATTTAAACAGATAATGATGACAAATTACCGTGGCCACTACAAATCCTTTTCCACATGATATATGTACCAATGAGAATTAAGGTAGTTCCTACTGTCACTGTAACAATAATGATGATTGTGCTGTTTCTCTCTTTCTCTGCATTTGCGAAAAATGAAAATAGGAAATTTAGTCCTGTCACTGGAGAAAGGTTCTCAGATGAAGAAAGTTAATAAAGATTATTGTGCAGATAACAGCTAGCATTGTACAGTGTATACCAAGTTCTGTGTAGGCTACTCGAACATGTAGATCAAGTCCTCCGTTTGAGAATTGTGTTATGTCAATCAGATTCTCAGTCCAAGACATACAACCAATATCAGCATCATATGAGTATGCAATGCATGAACAATTTTCCAAACATCGGCTTCTGCACGTGTCTGGTTGAAGTCTGAGCGATGAGCTATCAGCAAAATCTGGAACTTTGACCATCTTCATTTCAAAAAATCCATCATCTGTATGATCTGCACTTTTGATTTGGTTGCTGGCTCTTTCACAGTGCAGAGGTGTTCTCCTGAAACATCCACTAGTCCAGTTTTGTCTATTCCATTCCTCTCTGTTTCGTGGTTCAAACCCTTTCAAACAGCTGCATGTTGGTGAGCTTTCAGAATTACAAACTGCAAAAGGTCCACATACACCATAAACTTCACACTCAAATTGATGGCTATTCCATGTGACAACCCATTCTTTCCTCTCTCCATTCCACAATCTCTCGTCATAATTTCCCGTTGAATTCAGAATATAGATTAGGAAGCCAATCTCTTCTACTCCCTTGTAATGGAATTCAACATTTCCTTCCCCGTCATCTCCAACATGTCCCCCTTCCAGATAATACGTTTTCATATAGGGCAGCCCTGTAAAGATCTTACTATTCCATGGACCAGTTCGCCATAATGGACGAGTTTCATTCCAGATGAACACTTCAGGTATACTAAGGCGTTCAACACTTATAGAAAAGCTACCGGTGGATGGATCAGAAGGGCTTTTCCATGATGTTAGTTTTACTTTCTCACCAGTTACTTTGTTTGTTGAAATCTTCATATTGGGTAACAAAGTATTTGTAGGATGCTGGAAACTCTCCCATATAGTTCTTCTTGATGAGCTTTCCTGAAGGACAAGGTTCCCAGAATCCAAGAGTTTAGAAGTAGTGTTGGATCCAACACTGTACACATTTGTTGACCAAATTACATGATTCTGACTATTCCACACCTCAAGATCGCCATCTTTAGATATGGTAACAACTCCAGAAGAATCATTCAGTGGTTGGTTTCTGTTAGCCACCCATATGACAGTGAATTTGGGTTGCCACCAAATCCCCATATAACGTTTTGTGGAATTTTGAGGGGTGAAGAACCCCAAGGTGTAGTTGCCACCAGTGGAGGTTATAGTTTCATTGTCCTTGATGAACTGAGATGATGTGATGGTGTCTGTGGCAGTACCAACATCTGAAAAAAGAAAACATGCTATGATCAAAACGAAGAACAAGTATGTGCAGTTGGTGTAATCCATTACAGATTGTGATTATATCTTGTCCATAAGATGAATTTTAAGGCAATTGCAAGTAACATTTTTCTACTTCATTCTTGACTGTGACTTCTCATAAAAATCAACACGGTTTGGTGTTGTGCTACTCTTTTTAGCACTGCTTAATCTACAGTCTTGTACGTGTTTTTATTTCTTTCACACATTATCATTTAAAGTTATCATATTTTATCCTCATTTCTGGGAAGGTGTCAAATGGAACTTCGTAATTATTTAAGTTGTTTGTGACACTAGCATGGTTCAGTTTTCTAATTGGTCTTCAAACAAATTGTCCCACGTTGATTGGATTGCGGTCATTCAGACATTAAAAACAAAGGGAAAGTCTTCATTGCAATTTCTTAGTATTCTAGTATTGCGACAGTTGGAAAGAAAATAAGGCTATAATAATAAGAGGTTTAAATGGTTAAGGAAATGACTTTTCTTTTAAATGGTTAAAAATTTGATGGTAATGTCAAGGGTTGTAATGAATATGATTTAAACATTCTACAGTAAAAAGTTTATTATACATTTTTTCTCCTGTCTCATGTCATATATGTCAATTTAAATACATTTCAATTATATTTGACAGAATATAATGTAAAACTTCATAAATATTAATATTAAATGAAGATCTTTCTTATGAATTTAAGACATTTTATTTACTATGTTCATTTTGAAATTTAAATCATATCTACATTAATATAATTAAAAGAAATATACACAAAATTGTTCTGTATTGACTCCCTTCCTACACGGAGAAAAGACCCGTGAAACTCACTTGATGTATCAATTAACCTAGTGGAGAGATGACTGAAAAAATATGAGAGATAAAAAAGATAGAGTCATACTCAGCTAGAGAACACTACCATATTCAGAGAGAAGAACAAAGAAAACTATCAACGTTTTTTCACAAAGCTACGATTGTAAAATCGATATTGTAGATTCATTCATTGTTGGATCAAGTTAAAAATTTAACAGTAGGTTCAAGACATCCTGTTCTTCATTCTGACTGTTCAGATTGTTGATAGGAGATCTGAGTTGGGAGAAATTTAGTTTTCACTACAACTGTGTATTTAAGTTTTCTTTATCTTCTTTGTTCTCTGTTTGCAAGCTTTGTTGCTTTGTTGTTTGGTTGGGTTAGTATTATTTTATGCAATTGACTAACACTCCTTTGTACTATATGTTGATCATGGTGGAACTATTTCCTTAGTCTGGAAGACTTATGGCTTTACTCTTACTTTGAAGGGTTTTCCATGTTAATAACCTTGGTGTTTTTGTTTGTGATTTTGGTGATTTATTGTTGCTGTTCACTAGAAATTGATCCTCATATATTCTTGGAAATTAGGAGAAATTATATTCACTGCATTGTTTGGTATGTTGTTGTTTTCTCCATTAGAATGGCATCAGAGCTCTTGGTTTAGAGTTTAATTCCTTGAATGATGGAGGCAAATACAAAGATGGTTACTTTATAAATGGTAAAAGTTATCATTTGTGAAAGGGCATGATGAAAGACTTGTTGTTTGTGAAGATATTTCATCTTCTAGTCTTTGCTATACAAAAGTCGGATTTTATATATGATGAAGAATGGGACTTTGAGCACCAACATGTGTTATACTGCAATATGTAGTGACAATGTTTATAATCACATTGGAAATGAGAAACATGCTATAAATGTATGAGAGAAAATTGAGTCTTTGTATGCTTTTAATTTGGGCAATAATGAATTGTATTTATTGAATTTATTGATAAATTTGAGGTACATGGAGAATTATTTCATTTCCAATAATATAAATGAGTTTCAAAGGTTCTTAGATCAATTGTCAAGAATGAGTATAAACTTTGATGATGAAGTTTTAGGACTATGGCTATTGAATACTCTATTGGAGTCTTGGAAAATATTTTGTCTTTCAATTACGAAACTTAACCCTAAATGAAATTGTTTCTTTGCTGATGGCAAAGAACGATGCTCTTAATGAAGATATGAGAAGAAAGGGACATGGTTCTTCATCTTAGTCTGATATCACTACAAAAATATGTTATTTTAGTAGGGGTCATTTCTAACGTTACTGGGGTTTTAACCCCCGGAAAATACGTTTCTAGGGATTACAAGAACCATTGTCATCTTAGAGAAGATATTTCTTTTAGACTGTTGGAACAATTTTCCAAGAACTTAGGGAAACAAGATGAACAACAATGTAGACTTGATATAATCTTCTAGGCGTGAATACACACTTTCCTAAAAACAATATTTTGTCCCTTATAAGAGTGAAGGGGATCACAAAATCCTCTTTTGAGATACAAAGAAGAAATACAATGATAATACTCACTCTTCGTATTAACGTTAAACAAGAATAAAATTCTCACGAATTGTTTTGTGTGTTAAGTGAATGACAGAATGTAGAGAAAAATCTCTTTGTGTATGTACATCAATAGAGCACAAAATCCCTTTATATAGATGTTGATTAGGCATCTTTCAAATCCAAGAGATACCAGATTCTAATTAGTTACATTTATTCATAAATGATTGTAACTTTTCATGAATGATTGTAATGAATAATTGTAATTTTTCATGAATGATTGTAACCGTTCATGAATAATTGTAACTCTTCATTGATTGTAACTTTTTATGACTTACACATTTGAGGAATTCGTATTTTATTGGTGTCGAAACGATTGAACCAACATAATTCATAATGAAATCTTGAGGATATACTAGTAAGCCTAGTCTATCACATTGGCAAGCAGTACGTTGAGTACTTAAGTATTTAAAGCAAAACTATAGGAACAATTTTCCAAGAACTTAGGGAAACAAGATGAACAACAATGTAATATTGATATAATCTTCTAAGCGTGAATACACATTTTCCTAAAAGCAATATTTTGTCCCTTATAAGAGTGAAGGGGATAACGAAATCCGCTTTTGAGATACAAAGAATAAATATAACGATGATACTCACTCTTTGGTATTAACGTTAAAAAAGAATAAAATTCTCACGAATTGTTTTGTGTGTTAAGTGAATGACAGAATGTAGAGAAAAGTCTCATGTCGTATACATCAATAGAGCATACGATCTCTCACACATCTTTCAAATCCAAGAAATACCAGATTCTGATTAGTTACATTATTTCTTCATAAATGATTGTAACTTTTCATGAATGGTTGTAACTCTTGATAAATAATTGGAACTCTTCATTGGTTATAACTCTTCATGAATAAATATAACTCTTCATGAATCTGAAAACGGTCTCTAATAGTCTTAAATTCCAACAAAAACTACATTTCAATTATACGTGGATTTATCCCAATTATGCTAAGATCATTTCAATTTCCCCATAACAATTGGCCAGAGCCAAACTTAACATTATCAAATAAAAAAAAAAAGAAAAAGAAAAGTGATAAAAACGTAATTTACACTAAAGAGAGAAACACTAATAATAAAAGTAAAACTTTGATCTTCTTCTGGAAATACTGATCATCCGTGAAGCTAGATATGGAAGGGAGGAGGTCACCCGCAAATCGTTCATGGTGGTACCAATTGCACGGGGGGCATTAACAACGTTCTTCTCCTCTCATTTTCCAAACAAATACGGAGAATCCGATATGTGGCAATGACGGGGAAGAGTGGCGGAGGTATTTATCTCAAGGAAGTTAAACTCGAGGGGAGCAGATATGGGTTTGTCCGTTTTTTTTTTTTATGTAAAAAATGTGGCAAAACTAGAAAGAGAGCTAGATACTATAAGGATTGGAACCATGATACAGAAGAAAAGAAGAAGAATCTATTGGTGAAGGAAGGAAAACAACAGAGTCAAGGAAATTAAAGACCAGAGGGGTATACTGGAGAAAGAAATCAAACCAACAAACATACGCACAGGATGTCAAAACTACTACTAAAAACAACTGACATGGAGGTATGGAAAGAATCTAATTCAAAGTAGAGGAAATAGAACGAAAGTGGTTGAAAGAGTCAATGTTATCAAGGGATAGATTGGAATTTGTGAGATTCAAAATAAGGACACCGATTTGATGTAAAGTGTGGTTGGAGGAGTATATGGAGATATATAAAGATCAATAAAGATAGAAGGTGTTAAAAATAGATGCACAATAGAAGAAAAATGGTCAATATCGAAAGATTTAGAACACTCTTTTAGTTTAATATTTTTTCTTTTTAATTAAGTTTTAAAATAATAATAAAAATTTATTGAGATTTCAAATAAAATAAGAATAAAATTTATTTTAATTATGTAATTTTGTGTTAATTATAGATTTTAGGAAGCTAAAAATTAAAGTTATAATAAACTTTGCAAACTATAGATAATAGGAGTGACTATCTTTTAGAAAAGACATACTAGTCAATGAATCATAATACATTGTCACACCATTACTAGTAGAAACATTTAGATTCTTAACCATAGAATATCAATGCACAACACAAAACATTATTATTATTTGGCTCAGGTTGTGACTAAGCAACATACTGATCCCACAAACTCAACCATAGGCTCCACCACGGGCTCAACTGCGAACTCCACACTAGCTTCACAACAAGCTCAACAGTAGTCTCTATAGACTTTAAAACCGAACCTATAGAATCCTTATTCCCATCTTGGACACCAACCACCTTAAGATGATGAAGTTGTTGTATTTTTGCTCCCCACCAAAAATTACATTAGCATCTTATTGTAACTATTTACATTGACCAATCATTTTACAATTTAAACAAAAAAAAGACAATTTATCATACTCCACATCAACAATAAAAAAAAATCTTGATTTTCACTAAGATTTGATTAGGCAAATCAGATAACAATTCAACGTTAGCAAGACACGAACAAAGAAACTTCAAAACGTGTTCTTTGTGTAATCATCTAAAGATAAGGGCTTGACAATGTCACATGCAATTGAAAAAATTGCCTCTCACCCACCATTGGATTTTAGTGAGCTTTACAGAAGTCAGAACAAAATCTTTAGTCCAAACAAAAATACGAAGGATTCCAGAAGACAAATTTCAAACTTTAGCCAAAACCCTTCTTATATCATCCAGCAAAGAAAAAAAAATCATAGAACCCTTTATTATGAGGAATTGCTTTCCATTAATCCAGATGTTAGCCAGTCAAGTTTCTTACAAAAAAACTAAATGCATGAGAGGTTTATTACCTTTTATTAACAAAATTCACCAATGCAAATGATATTTGCACTCTTCCAAACTGGTCAGATAAACTTCTTCAACAATTTACCTCAAGATCATATGTTCCTTAATACAAGGAGAAGACAACTGTGATAAAAAAAATATCACATGCACCTATCCCTCGAACTGCCATGCTCTAGATTTTGGCAAGTACACCATCCACAACACTCAAACCAACAGCCTTGTACACATGAAGCACAGCCTGATTGGAAATTATATTAACACGCTCAAGAAACAAAAAGGAATATCCCCGGAAAAGAAGTATCAATATAGTTTCAGCTATAAAAGCCAGGAAGTTTGACAAAGATATTTAAACATTTAATTTAATTTTTTTATGTTATTTCTCTTTTCTTGTTTTTCTGTATTTTCGTCTTTCAACCCCGGGTCAAATAGACTACTAATCTACAACAACCATTTACGATATTTTAGTATGAATAAATGAGGAAAAATCTGTTAGCAGCCTTTGAATCTAAACACGTTTCTGTATCCATCTAGAGAATTGGTTGAAAAATTGTAACAGAAAGACTAATATTAGTTTGACAAGTGTCAATTAACTTTCGTGGAAGGAAACAACACTGTTTACTTTAACAGAGAAGAGTCAAACGTTAAAAGGAGGACTGAGTTCATATAATGTGTAGATCTTATTCTGTAATCGGAATAATGGGTTTCAACAGCCATGCAAACTTGTTCTTTGTTTTATTCATGCTGTGTTTTTATGTGTTGGACGTTGTTGCCACAGACACCATCACACCATCAGAATCCATCAAGGACCCAGAAACTATAATCTCCAAAGATGGTAATTTCACTTTGGGGTTCTTCATTCCTCCAAACTCCACAAACACTTACGTTGGAATTTGGTGGAAGTCTCAATCTACAGTCGTATGGGTTGCTAACAGAAATCAACCACTGAATGATTCGTCAGGAGTTGTTACCTTTTCTGAAGACGGCAATCTTGTGGTGCTGAATGGAGATCAAGTTCTTTGGTCGTCAACAATTGTGTCAAACACATCCTCCAGTATATATGCCCGGCTTTCAGACGAGGGGAAGCTTGAAATCACAGAAAACACAGCGGGGAACAGCTTATGGGATAGTTTTCAACAACCTTCAGATACATTACTGCCCCAAATGAAAATTTCAAGCAATAGAACAGGTAGGGGAATAAGACTTACATCATGGACGAACCCTTCTAATCCCTCTGCTGGGAACTTCTCTTTGGGTGTTGTTGAACGCGGAAAAATCGTTGAAGTGTTCATTTGGAATGAAACTCAACCATACTGGCGCAGTGGTCCTTGGAGCGTTGGGGTCTTTACAGGGGTAGAGCACATGGCTAGTGCATATCTAAATAGCTTTTCTGTTGTAGACGGTGAAGTCTCTTATAACCCAAGTGCATCTGAATTTGGAATCTACGTTCTGAATTCTCAAGGTCAGTTTGAAGAAAAATATTGGGATGATGAGAAGAAAGAACTACAACTTACTTGGACGAGTAAACAATCGGATTGTGATGTTTATGGTGTATGCGGGTCGTTTGCAATTTGTGATGCACATAGCCAAGGAACAAATGGCTCAGCAATATGCAGCTGTTTGGAAGGGTTTGAGCCAAACAACAAAGAGGAATGGGATGCACAAAACTGGACTAGTGGATGTTTCAGGAGCACACCCTTGCAGTGTGAAAGAGTTAAAGATGAAAACACAACTACAGATACAAATGTAGATCAATTTTTGGAACTGCAAATGGTGAAAGTTCCAGATTTTTCTGAATGGTCTAGTGCTGAGCCAGAGACATGCAGAAGCCAATGCTTGGAAAATTGCTCTTGTGTTGCGTATTCTCACGATGATGGGATTGGTTGTATGTTTTGGAATGACAATCTACTAGACATCCAACAACTCTCAAGTCGAGGACTTAATCTATATGTTCGTGTAGACTCTTCTGAACTTGAACATGGTATGCTACGTCTGCTCAAGCATTTTTAAACATAGTTTCTTTTGTACGGAATTCCCTATATTTTAGATTAATATTTTTTCTTAACAGATGAAGGGAAAAAGACAACAATTATCATTACAATAACAGTGATAATAGGTATTGTGATCATTGTCACTTCTGCATGTGTAATATGGAGGAGGACATCCTGTCGCCCAGGTAAGACACCATCTTCAGAATTTAGCCAATTATTCAGTTTGGTTTCTATTGGTAAAGGAGATAAGCATACATTTTCTTTATAACTCTAGCTAAAATATGGTACTCAATCAAATCAGCAATGAATAGGGGCAAGAAAGGTTTTTTATGTTTCAAGAACGATGAATCATTAGAACAAACAGGCAACAAAGTATTTGAAGAACTGTCACGAGTTAAACTACAGGAGCTGCTCCTGTTTGATTTCGAAAAGCTTGCGACTGCCACAAACAACTTCCACCAGTCCAACAAACTTGGGCAGGGTGGTTTTGGTCCTGTCTACAAGGTACCTTGAAACAAAGTTATCATATTTGAATCCATTAATTGTTTATAGTTGCCCTCATAGATTTTTTTTTTTTTTTTCAGGGGAAACTGCCAAATGGACAAGAAATAGCAGTTAAAAGACTTTCTACAGCCTCTGGACAAGGTCAAGAAGAATTCATGAATGAAGTGGTGGTCATTTCCAAGCTTCAACACCGTAATCTTGTAAGACTTTTTGGCTGTTGCATTGAAGGTGACGAAAAGATGTTGATCTATGAATACTTGCCAAATAAAAGCTTGGATGTATTAATCTTTGGTTAGTTTTTTATCCCTTCTTTAGTATTTTTCTCATAATCAATTCCATATTAATTGTTTCTGTTTATTTAGGATACAATTGTTTAAGATGTAAACATTCATTGCATAAATAGGGAGTTTTATTTTCAAGCATGTTAATCCAGGGCCTTTACATGACTCAGATTCATAACTTCCACTTCTAATATTGTGTTCTTAACAGTATAATTCTACCATTATATTTTAGATCCATCAAAAAGTAAACTCCTAGATTGGAGGAAGCGCTGTGGCATAATAGAAGGAATAGCTCGAGGGTTGCTTTATCTTCATAGAGACTCTAGACTAAAAATTATACACAGAGATTTGAAGACAAGTAATATCTTGTTAGATGAAGAACTAAATCCAAAAATATCAGACTTTGGTATGGCTAGAATCTTTGGAGGAACAGAAGATCACGCTAATACTAATAGGATTGTTGGGACATAGTAAGTATATTTTCTTTATCCATTATCTGAAGAAAATTATTGGAGAATAACGGTTGAAATTTGAACGCAGTGGCTACATGTCCCCTGAATATGCAATGCAAGGACTGTTTTCAGAGAAATCGGATGTCTTTAGCTTTGGTGTTTTGCTGCTAGAGATTGTTAGTGGAAGAAGAAACACAAGCTTTTATGATGATGAGCATTCTCTTACCCTTCTAGGATTTGTAAGTCACAACAATTTCTAACTCAATTATAGGAATCTTTGCTGAAAGCTAATTGTTTTTGTTTTCATTTCAGACCTGGGCACAGTGGAAAGAAGGCAATATATTATCTTTAATAGATTCAGAAATATATGATCCTAATGATCATGAAGATATGTTAAGGCTCATTCACATAGGACTTTTATGTGTACAAGAACTTGCTTCAGACAGACCCACAATGGCTACAGTAGTTTCTATGCTTAATAGTGATGTTGTCTTTCTTCCTCCTCCAAGTCAACCTGCATTCATCCGGGTGCAAAACGTGGTTAATTCAGAGTTGTCTGAAAAAAGTCAAAGAGTTTGTTCCGTGAATATTATTAGTATTACAGAAATCCGTGGTAGGTAGCAAAAGAAGACTATGAAAGATAACTCATGAAACTGATTACGTAACAGAGAAGATCGTGGCTATGCAGACAGGTAGTACGTATGCCATGCAGAGATTAACAAGGATAGTTTGATGTTGGGTTACATTATAATATATCTAAGGATATTTTGTAATAAATTGTTTGATGGTTGGAAAGGGAACTTTTTCATTAATATTACTATGTTAGAGTGTATAGTTTTTAATAGTATGTTAAGTCGTTATAATCAAATTAGTTAGCTAATGATAGTTACTATAAGACAACTAAGTCTATAAATAATTAGTTTGGTCATTACGATATATACTCTTAATTGGATACATAATTGAAAATTTTCTTTGTATTTGTTGCTGTTTGACCCTTCATATAGGTTTCATCTCATAACCGTTTTAACGGTTCTGTTTTTTCAGTAGCATTCTTCTCATCGTAATACATATATACGTGATGCATTCCTTTATTGAGAAATTTTGAATGCAATGTTTTTTCTCAGTCGTTTTTTTCTCGATTCTTGTGCCTTGTTTCTAGTGATCTGAACGATTCTTGTGTCTTGTTTGTAGTGATATGAACAAGTGGCACCGTATGTGGGGAGATCAAACAAGACAAAACCTTCTATACTTCTTCACTTCACCAAGAATCAATGACAAGCAAAATTTGATATTTAGATGAAAAAAAGACAAAAGATTTTTTTGCTGGCCTTTATTACGACTAAAAAGGTTGTCAACAAGCTCTCCAATTTGCAAATCACTTCAAGTTGAACTCAAAGAGGTGTCCTACAATGAGGAAAATAAAGAAAAAATGCATAAAATTTCATATTCATTTGCAATTGGTAGTTTGATGTATGTTATAGTGTGTATAAGGACATTGCTCATGTTGTTGCTGCTCTGAGTTGGTTCCTTCCTAATCTTGTGAAAGATCATTGAAAAGATGTAAAGTGAAAACTTAGATATGTCAAAGGTACTTCTAGAGTTTGTTTATGCTTTTGAAGTGATAAGCTTGTGTTGAATGATTATAGAGATGCAAACATAGTTAGCGATGTGGATTCTAAGAAATCTACAACTAGTTATATGATGACTTTTACAGGGTAGCAATGTCATAACAATCCAAAGAAAAAAAGTGCCATGCTCTATCTTCTATAGAGGTATAATATATTGCTATTATAGAAGCTAATAAGGAGCTCTTTGTTGGAAATTCAAGTGTGAGTCTAAGTCCCACACTAGATAGAAATGAGAAAGTATAGCAATATATAAAGGTGAAAAACCCATTAACCTATTGTCTTAAGGTTTTGGGTAGAGAGTGGTGTCAATCCCTATTATATAGATGGGCTCAGATCTCATTGGTGCTTGTGTCTCCCTAAATAATCTCCTCCTCGATAAACCCAACACTCTTATGGATGTAAAAACTTTTACAAAATTTGGGATTATTACAAGAAAAATATATTTCATATTGTGATAGTCAAAGTACAACTCGTCTTAGTAAGAACTTGACCTTTCATTCAATTCAAAGCATACTAAAGTTTGACATCATTGAATACATGATGCATTAGAGATGAAACAATTGTCATTATAGAAAATCCATAATGATGAGAATGGTTGAGATATGATGACAAAAATCTTATTTATGGGAAAATTTGGTATCTATCCAGACAAAATGAGTTTTATTGACTATGGCTCCAATTAATTGGTGAGGGGAGATTTGTCAGGTGAGCCCACATTGATTTAATTAAGAAAAGGAAAGAGTTATTTTTCTTTATAGGCTACCAGTCCATTATGCAATTTAAAATAATACAATCCTTTGCGTCAAGTTTTCAGGAGGGAGATAGAAAGACAATAACATTGAGTGTTTCAATGAAAAAAGAAAAGAAGTTACTAAGAGAGTGAAGAAGAAAAGAGCAACTAGTGTACCTGGTACGCTGTCGTTGAAGCTATGAAATTAATACTACTTTTCAAGGCAACTTCAGTATTGCCAAGTAGTATTCAAGAAAGTAGATAGGGTTAAAGTAACCCTGAGTCGTCTACCAACGAATACAAAATTGTCTTTTAATATTTGAATCTTATGAATGCAATGCTAAGAATAAAAATGATGTTTGGAGAATGTTTAAAGAACAAATAAGAAACTTAAAAATGATTATAATGAAATAGGCTAATTCCACTGCTTTTCCAAAATAGATTCATCATCGGTTATTCACAATTCATTGTTCAATTGATTATTGTTCAAATTTCTAATTAATTAAAGTACATTCTTAATTAATTTGAGGGCGATCATGCAATTAATCAAAGTAAATTCTCAATCAAATGCAAAATCTTTCTAGATTATTCACACTAAATTCAACCAAAGTACATTATCAATCAAATTCTATTGTGTTTAATCATGTCTATTCTTAAATCTCCTAGCCAAGTTAAAAGTTAATCAATCAAAGTAAATTATCAATTGATTATAATTGAAATTATTACTACCAACCAAAGTACATTCTCAATTGATAGTAAAAACCATTTAATCATATGAAAGTTCCTAAATTAAATCAAAGTAGATTCTCAATTAAACCTAGAAATCCTAGAACTCATATAATCAATATGCATGTAGATTCAAACACATTATGATGCAAAAATCTTTACTTTTTAAGTTGAGATAGAGAGATGAAAGACATAGAGAGAACAACTTAAATCAATAATCAAAATAAACAATTTCATTAACTCAACCTAACCTCAGAATCCATAATGGAATTACAGCAGAATAACCCTAGATGCTTAGCTCTCCATAAATGGAGTTCAATACAAGATGAAATAAGAGAGAGAAGTGGTGAATGAATGAATGAAGTGAAGTCCCTTTTCTGCCTCCCCAGGGTCTCTTTATATAGGGCTTGATTGGGCTTAGACTCTGAATATTTAGTTGACAAAATCTTTTATCTTATATCTTCCAAATAACTAAAAGATTTAGATAATTATAACATTATTTGGAAGATATTTTCTGTTGATATTCCCAAATTAAATTAATTCAACAACTAAATTTTATCTTTTAACTTTTCTAAATTTCAAAAATTACACAAAAACCATGAAATTTCCTCTATCTGCACTTTAGCCCCTTCAGAATTCTCCAAAATTGCACCAGAACCCTTGTTTGACCAACCTTGACCAGATTCAAATCTGTTGACCAGTTTTGACCAAGGAAGGATGCGACCAATGAGAGCTTGCCACGTGGCAGCCTCCTTCTCCACCCAAAATTAGGGCTTCAGCAAATTGGGGAAAAGGGAAAACTTGTGCCGCCTTGTTCCTCTACGCTGCTCGCATTTTTGCGAAGATGGTGTTACTGGTCATCGGAGATGCTTGTTGATGAAGATCGCGAGTGACGATGATGGATTTTGAAACAGCGGTGGCACGATAGCAAGGTGGAGTCGCGATTGCTTCTTCAAGTCACGATTTGGAAGCGCATTGTTTCTGTGATTGCTGGGTTTATTGCAGGTCTGGTTTTGATGCGGTGATGGAGGATGGTGGGGATGACGGTCTACGGTTGTTTGGTAGCGGCACGAAGGTTGTGCGGTGGCTATGGAGCATTCGCGGCTAACGGCGACTTGCGATTGCGGCGCGGCAAGGTTGATGGCGGTGTGCATTGAAGGTTGCGATGGTGACAGAGGGCTTGCAGCGGCACGACACGGTGAGGTAGAACGGCGGCTAGAAGGTCGCGCCTTGGGTGTGGCGTGATGGAGATGGCAACGATTTCTGTGCGAGATTAATGATGGAGGTCGCGGCGTGGTGGTGGCAAGACAGTGACGGACGCGGTCTGGTGGTGCGACGGTGAGCAGCGGCGCGGCGGTGTGAAGAACTCAGGTTTTGCTATTGGCGACGAGACTAGTTGTTGGTAGCCACTGGCGGCGGCGCATAGGAGGATTAGGAATTACGATTTCAGTGGGTGGAAGATGATGATGTGGCAGAGGAGGGTGATGTGGCAGCATGTGGTTGGATAGCACTTAGGGTTTTAGATTGTCACATGACATGATCTGGTGGAGTCTAGTTTAGGAGGGGTGTGTATAGGAAACTTAGGGAGGTGTAGTAGAAAAGGCTTAGTGTTTGGGCTTGATTGTTGGTCTGTTTCAGAAATAGGAGTGTATATAGGGATTTTAGGAGGTGTAAGGGTAAAGTCTGTCTGTTCAGCCCATTTGTATATTATTTTCCAAACAAAATTTGATTTTGGGCCTTGAATTGCCATTTGGACCAATAAAACTTATATTCTCAGCTGCACAAATAAACGTAAGAATTTCCAAGAATAATTTATGCAACTAAAAATCACTTTTTAAGTCCCTTTTAATTCTCAAACCCAACAATTCCAATCATCACAAATTCACTTAAAATCAACCATTTAAGCACAATTATCCCATCAAAAATTTGAATTTTAAAGCATAAATGTGGGCATAAATATGCACTCATCAGTACCCTTTGCAAATTTGTGCAAAGAAGCTAGTTTAGAGATGAGGTTTTATTCACATCTCATATATTTGGTTCTTTATATTCTTTAATTAAGTACGCATTGTGATTTTATTGTGTTGTTATTCATCTTGTTAGTAAAAAATATATCTTTTGGTTAATTTTTGGAAACTCCAAAAAAACTTATGTACCATTAATTATTATTAGTGAAAGTTTGTATTAATTCATATAAGTTTTTCGTCCGTTCTTCCCGCATTTAAAAGCTTTTGTCTACTAATTTCTCTCTTTTCTATTGCGTATCCTATTATTTACATATTATTTATATAGGATATATTTGATGGAAGTTTTACTTCTTCTGCCTATTACTTTTGTTATCTTCCTAACATATTGATTTTCATCATGTCGTAAAGTCAATACCAGTTCAAATATCCATTTATCTTTGCCTACTATATTTCCTAATATAATATAGGTTTAAACCATCGGTTAGTTCTCGTATTTGTTGGCGAATCTCAAGTGAGTCCTTGTTTTCTTAACTATCAAAATTTGGTCCACATACTTGTAAAATTGAGCCAATTTTTCCCTCTCTGTTAAGTTTTCACTGACGGCGTCTGCACATGCTGAGGTGTATGTTTTTTTAGATCACGTGGCATTGTGTATTAAATTGAATGGGTTATCTGTTGCACAATCAACCATTCCA